CCAAAGGTCAAGCGCAAAGACCAGGAATAGGCATGCATGCAGAGGATGCTTCACAAAGCCGGCTTGCAAGAGTGGGCGGGATGCCTCAGCGAACCAAGCCCTGGGAACATCGCAGAGGCCGTACATCGGTTTTCGAAGTCGCATACAAACTTTGGGGTCGGTGATGCCCAAGAGCTGACGGGCATCGGCAGGAAAACGGACTCACAACGTCTTGGCGGCCGTATGTTCGCGGCCTTGAAGAAAAGCCGTACTGACGTCCGCGACGAAGGTACTCCATTCATGAGGGTCGTCAGTGACATCAAAGTAGTCCCTGCTTTGTCAGCTAGCTAAGCCCATCCTCGAGAGGAAAAGGGCCAACGGCGTAAACCGGTAGTTACCAAGTTTGCCGTGCGAATATCTCAAGTCTCAAGAGGGGCCCTGGTGTAGATCAATGGGCGTAGGGATGCAGTCACTGTGGGCTCAAGGGTGCGCAGACTGGGGGCTGATTTTCCGCCATGTATGTCAAAAAGCATACGTATACATATTGACAGATATCATACATATATTATGTGTATATACTGTATAAATACAGTACATCATGCACAGTATAGGCTGTGAAGATACACAGCATCAAAAATACATACAAGGCATGCGAGATACTGATGCATAGTGAATCAAAAAGCATCTGTGCTACATAATGATCTGTATAGAATATAGACTACACAACATAAACTGGGTCATAGGTGATACTTAGCATACAATAGATGGTACATGGAATATAATATAGAACATGCAGTCTGTTACACAAATCGTACGGTGGGCAGTATATATTAAAATACAATATGACATATCTCAACAGATCATACTTAATAGATGGCAAATCGTTTATTATATGTAGTATGTAACTCAAAATACAGTATGAACATAATGGAACAGAGTAGAACACAATATGATATGTTTCCGAGTGTTATGTATGAATACTAAGGACTATGACGTGTCTCACTATATACTTCAAGATAAAATCATTCGTGCAGGATCACTGGAACGTTAATATTTAGTTGTACTAAAATAATCTACCCCATCACCCCGTGCTACTCATTCAGGCTTCTGTCTTAGTGTGCCTTCCAGTCGGCTGCACACGTGCAGATTTCAGCTTCGGGCAGCCTCGGGGGTCTCGAATTGTTGTCGACAGCCGCAGTGGTTTGGACACATTGACGCTTTCGCAGGTGCCCTTCGTTCTGGTAAAAACATAGGATCGTCACTTCACGTGTTTGTGGGGGGGGGCATGATAGCGGTCCCACAACACTACACTGCTACACTTTGGTAACTTCACATGTTTTTGTCTGTTCTTGGTGATGCTGATGTCTGAAACCAACACATGGATATACTATAATGCAAACAGAAGCCGCATTTTAGGTGCTACGGCACCTCTATTGTGCCGTCTACAGATACCCCGACCCAGTAATACCCGAAACTTTGAATCCTCTACCCGAAGCCCCGAGCCTTTCCAGTCCTACTCTCATCAGGTTCATGCGCCAATTTCTCGTGCATCACCATTCCTGGTCTCATCACGTTCATGCGAAGCTCGTCGTCTCGTGCATCGTCGCCGTTCGTCTTTGTCCTTCGTCTTTGTTGTCTTCTGACAACACCCCAAATACTGTTCGTCGTGCTGGACGGCGTGATCCACAGTCAGTGCGATTCGTGGCCGGGCCAGCACAACAAACTCGAAAAATATGTTGCGTGGTTTCAACCCAGCGTGCCTTAAGACTACGGGTCGAATGTGCTGGCAGGGCCGTGGGCCTTGATAATCGTCGCGCGAGTCAAGTTTTGAACAGCCGACTTATAAGAGTGATTGAAAATTAAACATAGTGATAACTGCAATAATGATTGCAACAATGAATATCATATGAACTATAGTATAACTATTATCCTGTGCCTTCCAACGCAGCTCCAGGAGTTGGCAACAGCTTGTGCCAGCGACTGAGTCTGGAGTGGGGGTGTTTTGGGCTTTACGCCTTACCTGTAAAAAAGCTACAGTTTTATAGAACTACATGTAGAAACCAAAACAAGGAATTCAAAAATGGTAGGTGTTTTGGGCTTTAAGGTTTTTAGCGGCAGGGATTGGGGTTTGCAGCCTTCGGTTTCGAGATTTGCATTCAGAGTCTCAGTTTCGAGGTCAAGAGTAAGTAATGGTTTAGGGTTCAGACTTCCGGCTGAGGGCCTAGGGCTCAGGGATAGTTTGGTCTTTGGCGACATTCTGTGGTGCAAGTGCTGCTGTTACAGACACCAAGCTTGTGAAAGGTGCTACGTGACAGTGAGTTGCGCCAAGCAGCCGGTTCTTTGTACAAAGTTCAAGTACGAAAATACCTCATGCAGTATATTTCAGCATGTCATATAGCACCGTATGATACCATATAAAGTATCATAGAATGTCTGCATGAAACAACATCATAAAATGCCCTTACCTGTCAAAGGAATAGGACTGACAGTGTTGCCCTCGTCTGGGCCGTTAGCACCTGTTGGCACCATCGCTGCCCTAATTCTCTGTTCAAGCCGCTTGCTTCGTCATCGTGTTGCTCTTATCATGATGACCCATATTCGCCGGGAATGATGGGTCATGTTCTGTCCTCTCCGCCAGACCTGCTGCTGTTGTGACTAAACAAGAGTGGTACCGTTCAGTTGTGGGTGGGAAGTTCAAGAGTCCCTCGCAGTCCATGAGGTGGATCTTTTGGGTGGTCGCTGTGTACAGCGAGGGCTCAGGTGCTTGTTTCAGCCCAAAGAAAGCAGCCTCCGCAGTTGCGTGCAACATGATTCGGCTTGGATGTCCTGCCGATAGTTTGAGGAAGACCAGTATTATATATTTTATATCGTATAGTATATGTTACATGGTACATGCTGCCAGTGCGATGCAGGCTGCTCCACTTGTCGAAGCTTTTCATGCTTTTCCAGTTCAACGATTTCGGCGCATGGTTTAGCCATTCACGCTGGACCTGGCCTCAGCGATGTTCCTGCTTTGTAAGACATGGACCTTATGAAAGCCTCATGAATCCCCAAAGAAGCCTTGTAAAAACACTCCTTTACAAGCCGTTGTGAATTGGATAGACAGATTGATTGATTGATTGATTGATTGATTGATTGCCTG